GATCAGGGCAGATGATAAAAATAAAAAATCTGAAAAGGGTAGAATGAGATATACAATATTTCGGTGTTGAAACCGATCAGGGTAGTGGATAATATTAAAAACAGTCAAAGGGTAGAATGAGATATACAATATTTCGGTGTTGAAACCGATCAGGGTAGTGGATAATATTAAAAACATCAAAGGGTAGAATGAGATATACAATATTTCGGTGTTGAAACCGATCAGGGTAGTGGATAAAATTAAAAACAGTCAAAGGGTAGAATGAGATATACAATATTTCGGTGTTGAAACCGATCAGGGTAGAGGATAATATTAAAAACAGTCAAAGGGTAGAATGAGATAAACAATATTTTGGTGTTGAAACCGATCAGGGTAGTGGATAATATTAAAAACAGTCAAAGGGTAGAATGAGATATACAATATTTCGGTGTTGAAACCGATCAGGGTAGTTGATAAAATTAAAAACAGTCAAAGGGTAGAATGAGATATACAATATTTCGGTGTTGAAACCGATCAGGGTAGAGGATAAAATAAAAACAGTCAAAGGGTAGAATGAGATATACAATATTTCGGTGTTGAAACCGATCAGGGTAGAGGATAAAATTAAAAACAGTCAAAGGGTAGAATGAGATATACAATATTTCGGTGTTGAAACCGATCAGGGTAGTTGATAAAATTAAAAACAGTCAATGGGTAGAATGAGATATACAATATTTCGGTGTTGAAACCGATCAGGGATAAAATTAAAAACATTCAATGGGTAGAATGAGATATACAATATTTCGGTGTTGAAACCGATCAGGGATAAAATTAAAAACAGTCAATGGGTAGAATGAGATATACAATATTTCGGTGTTGAAACCGATCAGGGTAGAGGATAAAATTAAAAACAGTCAAAGGGTAGAATGAGATATACAATATTTCGGTGTTGAAACCGATCAGGGTAGAGGATAAAATTAAAAACAGTCAAAGGGTAGAATGAGATATACAATATTTCGGTGTTGAAACCGATCAGGGTAGTTGATAAAATTAAAAACAGTCAATGGGTAGAATGAGATATACAATATTTCGGTGTTGAAACCGATCAGGGTAGAGGATAAAATTAAAAACAGTCAAAGGGTAGAATGAGATATACAATATTTCGGTGTTGAAACCGATCAGGGTAGAGGATAAAATTAAAAACAGTCAAAGGGTAGAATGAGATATACAATATTTCGGTGTTGAAACCGATCAGGGTAGAGGATAAAATTAAAAACAGTCAAAGGGTAGAATGAGATATACAATATTTCGGTGTTGAAACCGATCAGGGTAGAGGATAAAAATAAAAACAGTCAAAGGGTAGAATGAGATATACAATATTTCGGTGTTGAAACCGATCAGGGTAGAGGATAAAATTAAAAACAGTCAAAGGGTAGAATGAGATATACAATATTTCGGTGTTGAAACCGATCAGGGTAGAGGATAAAATTAAAAACAGTCAAAGGGTAGAATGAGATATACAATATTTCGGTGTTGAAACCGATCAGGGTAGAGGATAAAATTAAAAACAGTCAAAGGGTAGAATGAGATATACAATTTTCGGTGTTGAAACCGATCAGGGTAGAGGATAAAATTAAAAACAGTCAAAGGGTAGAATGAGATATACAATATTTCGGTGTTGAAACCGATCAGGGTAGAGGATAAAATTAAAAACAGTCAAAGGGTAGAATGAGATATACAATATTTCGGTGTTGAAACCGATCAGGGTAGAGGATAAAATTAAAAACAGTCAAAGGGTAGAATGAGATATACAATATTTCGGTGTTGAAACCGATCAGGGTAGGGGATAAAATTAAAAACAGTCAAAGGGTAGAAGGAGATATACAATATTTCGGTGTTGAAACCGATCAGGGTATAGGATAAAATTAAAAACAGTCAAAGGGTAGAATGAGATATACAAAATTCGGTGTTGAAACCGATCAGGGTAGAGGATAAAATTAAAAACAGTCAAAGGGTAGAATGAGATATACAATATTTTGGTGTTGAAACCGGTCAGGGTAGAGGATAAAAGTAAAAACAGTCAAAGGGTAGAATGTACACATACAAATTTTCGGTGTTTAAACCGATCAGGGTAGATGATAAAATTAAAAACTACAAAAGGGTAGAATGTAGACATACAATATTTCGGTGCTGAAACCGATCAGGGTAGAGGATAAAATTAACTAGCCAAGAGTAGGATGAAATATACAAAGCTGCAATCAGGGTGAAAAAAATAAAATAAAAGCTAGAACAAGGTCAAATGAAATGTACAAAATTTCATGAAGAAACAAATTAAAAACTGACAAAGGGTAAGACAAAATTTACAAATTTTCAGTGTCGATCAGGGTAATAAAATAAAATAAAAGTTAGTACAGGGTAGTATGACATATACAAAATTTCGGTGTTTTAATCGACCAGGGTAAAAAAAAACAAAAATAAAAGTTAGCTCAGGGAAAAATTGAATACCGAGTAAAAAAAATAATCAGTGGAAAAAAACAGAATAGAAAAGTATGAAATACACAAAATTCTAATTTTAAAGAAACCTAGTAGATAAAATAGTATGGGTGGTGATAAGCAGGTGATAAAAATAAGCAGATAAAATAAATTAAATAAAAAACAATTCCACCTACTTTTTGAAGATCTCTCAGCAACGTCGACAAATTTAAATACATATATAAAATAGTGCGAGCACATAAATAATAATATAACATATAAATATAAATATATAACACTTTGCTTATCACCGAAAACGCATAAATATAATCATGGGCTATGAAAATTATTTATTTTTTTAAGTAAAAAAAATAATATAATTCCCATAAGTTGTAAATAAAAAAAATCCTACTTTGCAGCATCTTCGCCCATTCTCTGCAATATTATAAATATCTGCAAAATCTGCATCTCTCTGCAAACTAGAAGTGATGTGTGCTCGAAGTGATGAGATCATATCAAAGTGATAAGATCATATCAAAATCTGAAAATAATGAAAAATATAACATTAGATTTGATGGAAAATAATAACTATTTATATATTTACTATAATTTTATATTAGTCATATAAAATAATAAATACATGATGGAATTATGTCATTTCCATTTTATATTTATTGTTTTATGTAACTTGAAAATAATATGTGAAAATAAGTAGAATAAAGGTATTTATAATTGTTGAATAAATAATAATTTAAGTATTTAAATCAATTATCACTGGTTTGGAGATGAACTGAAGTTAGCAATGGACGCCATCTTGTTTTGCAAATGCGCCGCTAGATGGCTTGTTAATAGTTTGCAGAAAATTTGTAAATAATAAATATTAATAACAATAATATGAAATTTCATTCGAAAATGAATTAAATCTGTTAAATACAAATGATTTATATTGAGTTTTAGCGTTGCAAATACGATTGTAATGTTAAAAATGCGATTCAAACTTTGGTCAATTGACAGTTGAGACGCCGTTTTGTTTTGGCTCAAGACCGAAGAATTTTACGTTGTTTTTTTGCAAAAAAATAACTGTACAGGTCCAGGTTTTTAATGTAAATGGATACATCAGGTCAAAGTTTATTGAATTTTCATCAATAATACGCCGTGAAAACGGTTATATTATTTAAAACAGGACAAAACCACCGTTGGTGGTTATGTCCGCCATCTTGGATTTTGCAAATGTTACAAAATTTAAATAGCGAAAAAACGCAAAAATCTCAATAAATATTATGTAAAAGTGCAATAATAATAAATAATATGTGATAAATTTATTGCAAATCAACAACAAAGCACGCCTATGATATTTTTACAGATGTAAACATTGTTTACAAATCAGTACCAGACGGTGTCACTTGTTGTGCAAATAAAACTTAATAATTAAGCAAAATTATAAAAAATAAAAGTTCTTACCTTTTATATGTGTAAACTGCATACCGGAACACACTTTATAAACACTACTTGGTTGTAAAATAATTATTGTTCATTTTGATCACTTATTGCACTTGCACTACGAGATGTTCACTGTTCGGGAGCTGACACGCTAATGAGCTGCGTGCTAATTAGCACCGCCTTATATATGCGGGTTGGAGGCTACTCACGGAGGTGCTCCCGTGGGTGAAAGAGCCTCCGGAAGAAAACATAACCCCTCCCAGACAGCACAAGACATGCCAGGGAATGTCCCACTTGTCCTCACAATCTCCTAATATCGCGATATCCTATGAATATCCTATGAATATGCAACGGGACGTCTCAAAACCAAAGGACTCGAGCAGGTATAACGAACGGTTCACGACATGTCGATCTCATACGCGCACGGCTTGAGACCTCTAAACGTATATGTTTGTCCCTTTCTCTTCGCCGTCGCGTCGGCTGTAGGCTGTAGGCATGGAGCGTCCTTTAAGGTTTACGCGTTATCAATAGACGCTATATGTCATAGTTTTTGAGTAATTGAGTAATAATAGTGGAAATTTTATTTGTTTTATATAATTATATGAGCGTGTGTTATAAATAATTAATATTATTTATCAAAATACTCTAAAATTGAGTAATAATAGTGGAAATGTTATGTGGTCTATATAATTATATGTTCGCGTGTGTTATAAATATTGCAGCAACATATTGAAAGGGGGGGCAGATATAAACGATGGTAATTAAAGCTTTATGTATACTGTTATTTGAAATACTATGTTACTAGTACAAATAGAATTTTTAATTTAATGCTGACATTTCTACCCTGCCAGCTTATCCAGCAGCCATGCCTAATTTGCATCAAATGCTGTGTTTGAAGAGAATAACAAAGAAGAAATGCTCTCCACTATGTTTGTTGGAGGAGCTTCAACTTATGGAGGCTATTCTTCTGAGCAAAGATATCAAAATACAATTGGTAATCAAAAGTTTATATAGATTTATTTTTATTTGTTAACTTTATCATATACTAAACAAACTTTCTCTTTATATTCTGTATTTAGCCATCAGAGTCCATCTATGAAAATCCATTTTGATGATGGTTTGGACAAAGAATTTTGCTAGGGACGAGGAAAGGGCAAAAATAAATTTTGTGATCTAGTGCCTTGCGATGTCATCACAGGTAATTTATATATCTTATACTTATGATGTGTTGTAAATTATGAATTAAACTAATATATAATTAATTCCAGGAATTGCTTTGAAAAATTTGCCGCATGAGACATAGTTTACTGTTTCAGAGGCTGCAAAAAGCTGGCTGCGACGTGCCAATAAATATTATACAAGGTATTTTTGTGAGATGTGTACTATATGTTTTTCCTATTTACAAAAAAATCATGATAATTGACTGGTTAGTTGTATCAATGTTAGTGCAAAATTTGTGCTGAGTACACATTTTTAGATGTAAAAAACCAAGTTTAATATTCACTCGTAATGACATCAAATTGTGTCGATATATTTGGAATTAGAGATTATTTTATAAATCTCTGTCTATTTTGATTCATGTATCGCTCTTAAAGAACTTACTCATATATATACATATATATGCATTTATTCATTTGTTTTCTATTTCAGGAGAGAAAATCAACCATGAACTAGGATTGAATGCCGAATTAATTATATTTTTAATATTGTAAAATAAGTTATTTTGAGTTAAAGTTGTATATATTAAATTTTGTTATAAAATTATCTCAGGATTTTGTTATTTTGTAATAAAAGTTTACTTTGTGAAATTGTGTTCTTTTATTTTATTTTTAATCCAAATTTATTTTTCATCTAAAAAGTAAAAAACAATTCCATAATTATATCCTATTCATGTCCGGAATATCCCGCGCGGGATATCCTACAGAACGTCCCATAGGTGCGACATATTAACATGTTTCGGATAAGATCAGGATAAGCGGGATATCCGTAAGGCTATCGCAGGGACAATGAATGTCCGCGCGTGGATATCCTGTGGACGTTTTCCAGGATGTCTTGTGTTGTCTGGGCTGTCTCAAATTTGTCAATTATTAGGATTTAAATCAAACTTCATGAGTAATACCTCATATACATGTTGAAAACTATAAAAAACTTAATTACAATCACTAATTAAGCTCTATTCGTTAGTAATTAACTTACTAATTAAGCACTATTCGTTAGTAATTAGTCACTGCACAACAATCAATTGTATGGATTCAAAGTAAACAGAAACAAGCAATTTAAAATAAATTCGTTAAAACCACACAATGACACTATGTAAAAATGATTAAAAACAATACGCTTGGCACAATAACTTTGCAATACAATTTTGGCAACCGATTTCCACACATTTTTTTACAAATTTGAATTTGTATAAATATATAACCACAAAATTTTTGTTATTCTTTCAGTTTTAAACGTCAAAATTAAATTCATGTAAACTGATAGCAGTGAAGTGTGCCACATAATTGAAACTATGCAAAACATCTTGTTCGTAATTGTGTTTGTATCAAAACTTCAAATATTTTAATAAAAACTTCAAATATTTTAATCAGGATATGATAAATACCGATTAATGCACAAGGCTTTTCAGTCAACTGTCATGTCAGTTCAACTACCATTTTAATTAAAAATGTTGTATTTATTGATGAATTGTGTTCAATTACCTGCAATAGTAGAGAAATCTGTTACATTAATACAGTGACTATATTAACTATTGCTTAATTCATCTAAAAACATTTTGTATATATTAGACCCTTCAGTAAGACAACTGAAGGTTTCTCTATATTTGCGTAATTACTAATAATAAGAATAACTACACAGAATGTATAATCAAATCATGATTGTTTAGGGTGTAATGGAGGATTTGTGGAGATATTTGGATTACTCTACTCATTCAAGACAATATAAACTTGTTGTGGAAATGACGAAGGGCACACTTTTAAATGCAAATAAAATGTATACTTGTTCACTTTAAGATGACTGCCTGTATATACTAAATTATATTCTAACACTTTACTCAAGTTTATTATGATTTTATCAATCAGTCAGGAGAAATATCATAAGAGGTAATTATTCTCGATTGTTAACCTAATTTATTAATGTTGCACAGAATTTTAGTTAGAAAATAATCACAAATTAAGTCGACTTTTATCTGTAATGCAACTATCGGTTTCTCTATATTTATATAATAAGAACGGCTACACAGTAAATGTATATTTAAATTATGATTCTTTAGGTTTTAATGGAGGATTTGTGGACATATTTGGATTAATGTACTCAATCATGATAATATAACCTTGTTATAAAGATGACGAAGGGCACACATTGCAATCGCAAATAAAATGGATACTAAGTTCACTTAAAGATGACTGCCTGTATATAATGGATTATATTCTAATACTTACAGATACTTTCCTCAATTTCAAAATTTTAGTTTAGTATGAGAATTTCCAGCAATTTGCCTCAAGGCACGATGTCATACACAACTAATTTTTAATGAAAACTGATATCGCTAATGCTAGATATCAGTTGTGCCTAGTGTAGGATTAGAACTCGAACCTTTATGGTAGCAAGGCCATGGTTCTTACTACTGCACTATGCAATTTCAAATAAGATATAGGAAATTTATAAAAAGAGCGATGATTCATAAATATACATTACCTTTGTATATATTTATAAATATTTGTATCAAATTTGCACAGTTACAAGTTATATTTTACAAGTTTCCAGTATCACAGCAGGATCAAATATTTTGAATAGATACTATAATTCAAAAGGTAATATATAATTGTCGTTTTTATGAAAATTATTATTAAAAATAAATTTTTCATTGCCGTTTATTGATGTTTCGCTCCGGAGAACATGTGTCATTTGTGATCATGGACAACTTTTTTCATCATTTTTTGCTGGCATTAGTCTAAAGTTGTTTGAATTTGGTTATTGAAATATTTTAAAAATATAGTTCTGTATATAAGTATACAGTTATAAATAAAAAAGTTTTTTAACAAGAATTAATCCAGTTATTAGAAAGAATTTTGAACAAAAAATTTAAAAAATGTCTCACAAATCTTTCAACTTAGGTCTTTTGTTTGTTGTAGTTAGGTTATTCGTGTCATTTTTAGATTACTCGATTATTTCAATAATGAAATTATCAAGTTTTCACCATTTTACAATCCCGATTAAATTAACCCACTTTGGTCATTTTTTTAAAGGGGACATCTCAAAGTCGATCGATTCTGAAAAATTTCAATTCATAGTTGAACAAAAAACTCAACTCTTAAAATCTTGCGGCAATTGTATTATTATTTTTTACTGTGGCCCTAAAAATGTGATTCATAGTTACAGTTGCAAAGTTTGAATAAACAAAATTAATAAAAATTAACTAAACAACCGAAAAATGGTCATTATTTCACCAAAGCTCTAGGTTGAACTTAAAAGCTCATAATTTCCAAACAACATGAGATATTTTTTAACTTCCCATAGGGTAAGTTATTGTAATGGGCTAAAAATCGAAAATGAAATTTTCTGCATATTTTTAGGTTTCAGAGGTTTCTGAACTTTTTGGCATGCCTAAGAATAAATTTGTGTGTGTGTGTATGTGTGGAGACAATTTTCCGTCGACGATTTCGAGCGCACGGATGAAGCGATTTGCAAAATTCTAGAAGCAATTGATTCCTATTGATAGGGAGGTGTACAGAGTTTTTGAAGATGACAGGTCCAGTGGCTTCGGAGATATGGAGCAAAAAATGCTAAAAATGACAGTTTTTAAGAGTACGGATCAACCGATTTGAATGATCCAAAAAACATTCGATTCATAATGATGGAAGAAGTGGTGGTTAGATTTTGGCAGATGCAGGTGCAGCCGTTTCAGAGATATAGAGCTGCATGTGCAAAAAATGTCAGTTTTTGAGAAAACTAAGCATCCGATTTGAAAGATTTGAAAAACTTTCTGCTTGTGTTGAAAAAACATGTTGGCTTTTGTGAAAAAAAATTATTATATGTTAACTCTATTATATTTACTATAAACACAATGTTCTCTTGATCACTTTATTTACTCAATTACACTACGTTCTCTATTATACGCATTATGTATACTATTGTTTTACAAATACTCAACGCTTACTATATCACGCTGTCATTATCATAGTTAATATTCGGCTATCCTGATCAATTCTCGTCCTCGAGAATGTAGTTTTCGAATTTCTTAGGACGTGTGATTGTCCGTTTCTGTCTCCTCTTCTTCGTCACTGTTATTAGATTTGTCATCATTACTGTCGTCTTCTTGCATCTGGATGGGCACTTGGCTTTCTCCACACTGCATTCGGATTTGGAGCGTTTCTTGTATTTGGATCTGCTTTTGCGGCAAGGGGATTTAGGCTTCTTTTTGGGACACGGCGATTCGTTGCCTATGGGGCATTCTGGCGGCCCCTTTCCGGGCGGCAAATTAGAGACAGGTTTCTTAAGCCGGCCACAGACGTAACTGTATACTTGCGCAACTGAATGAATGCGCAACCAGGCGTATTTTCACAGCGCCCACAGACGGTTCAAGTTTATGTTCAAGTACTTGCGCAAGCATATCACAAATGTCAAATAATAAATGTCAAAACATAACCTAAAAATATATTTTTTTTATTAATTTATGTATTTACAGGATCAGAAGAGAATTCAAAGTGTTCAGAGGGCTAATTTAATAACTTTTAATTATCGATAACTTCATAAACTTGTATTATGAATTCGCTACAAAGTAAAATTTAAAATGAAACATGTGCTGCCACACGCGGCCGACGAATGAACTTGCCGACTTGAATGATTGCGCAATTAAAATAATGAAAAAGTGCTCATGCCTACTCGCTTGCACCAGTCTGTCAAGTTGCGCAAAAAACACTCCACAGACGCTACAAAATACGTGCGCAAGTCGCAGGTTGCGCAAGTATACAGTTACGTCTGTTGCCGGCTTTACGGTACTTGATTTTTCTCTTGCACTTGGAAATATGCATCTCCGGTTTGCAGCCAGCGTCCTATGATGGTTTATCTCCCGCTGATTTGGATCGTTTGCAGTCATCCTCCTTAGGTTTCTTGGGAAAGTCGGCAGATTTGGTGCGTTTTCTTCTACACTTTGGTTCACATTTTGGTTTTGGTGGTGGGCACTTAGATTTAGGTTTCTTACATTTTGGTTTTGGCGGTGGACACTTCGGCTTCTCTTCACATTTCGGTTTTTCTTCACATTTAGGCTTTGGAAGAGGACACTTCGAGTTTTCTCCATTTCTCTGCGCTGTGGTTAACCAGTCTTCTTCTATTAAATAGTTATTTAATACTATAAGTCCATCCGCACACTCTGTCTCTTCAGTTTCATTTGTGATGTTTCGGGATAGAGCATCCTGCACATGTCTCATCTTCTCTGCTGGTCGATGAATCACCTCATAATCAAATTCTTGTAGTTTCTTTTCAGGTATGTCATCATCTAATTTTATTGTATCCATTGTTAGTTCTCTTACATTTGATTTTTCCTGGTTTTGTTCACATTCATGGCACTCGTCGCATTTTGTAACTTTACAATCCTTTTCAACCGTTGTTTCATTATTTGATATATTCAGTATCGGTATGATGGTCTCACCCCCTCTCATTGCCACTACTGCGGTCTTTGTTAAAGCATTTGCCTCTAATGGAATTTTTATTGTCTCAGCCCTAACAATTGTCTCCTTAAGCGCTAACTCTATTGCACCTACATCATCATCATCATCTACCTTCTCCATTTCCTCATAGCACACTCCTGTTGGCTCTTTCTCTATTGGCACAATACAATCATCGATCTCGCTTCCCAGTACCATTTTGTATACCTCATGATTGGGCACTACACCAGACTTCACTCTCTCGTCACGAACCATCGATATCATCATTGTCAACATTTCATCTTCTCGGCGTCTGCTTTCCAAATACATTTTGTATAACTCTTGTAGTTCACTCATATTGTTTTTTGTTATTGAAATGTCACAAACATAATCTCACACTTTTTGATTCTTCTCTAAAATATCTTTATGTATATCCCTGGTAATCCATAAGTAATCCTTGAGAAATCCCACTTCTGAATTGTTAACTCTATTATATTTACTATAAACACAATGTTCTCTTGATCACTTTATTTACTCAATTACACTACGTTCTCTATTATACGCATTATGTATACTATTGTTTTACAAATACTCAACGCTTACTTTATCACGCTGTCATTATCATAGTTATTATATATTTCAAATTTTTTTTCAATTTTTTTTTTGTATATCGAAAATAATTTAGAAATTAATTTTAATACTGGCTAAAGTTCTAAAGCCCGCTTATATACTTTAAATAAAAAATAATAATTTTGTAATTCAGTTTATAAATAACTCTCCTATGAATATTAGACAATTTTACAGAGTATTTATAATAGTCTATTTGAAAACATTTAATTTTCCTCGAACATTTCGTTACGGTATGCTGGGAAGTTCCAGCAATTTGCCTTAAGGCACGATGCCACACATCACTAGTTTTTTTTTAGATCACTTAAGGTCAACACTATAGTATAACACCTCGTTCTGGCTTGACGTTAAGATCTGGGATATCATGTATATTGTTTTCGCAGAGAATATATTTTATATTAAAAAGTTCATGCACAATAGCGAAGGATTTATTGACAAATATACCTAGCTTCAAATAATGTCAATACTACAAAAATAAAAAAGCAATTATAACAAACAAATTCTTATTAAAACAAATATATATATATATATATACATATATATATATATATTAATACAGTAAAGAAAAAACGACTAAATTGTCAAATATTTATACAAAATGCGTGGTGTACTAAACAAATACTAAAAATAAATTAGACAAGTTTACAAATTTGAACTTCCACTATACAAACAAATATTTATTATAAACCAAGGTATTATATTTATTATAATTCATGCCTTTTTATACAATTCTTGACTTCTTCTAAAAAAATGTTACGTCTATTTCAAATCATGGCATTTATGGACAGCAACGAAGATTGTATAGGATTTGGTGATGGTGGTTGTACAATTTTAATGTACAGTTTTCTTTTTGTCCACGACATGAAGAATACAAGGATGTGTACCATGGCATAGGTCAATATTCCGACAGCACAATATCCAAGAGATATAAATGGCTTCCTCCAGTCCAAAGTCGGATAAAGAAATGGTAGGAGTTCCCTGCGAATGGTGAGGAATACTAATTAATGAGGTATTGACTCATTTATTGTTATTATAATTTAATGACGGTATGAAGGACCAAGTGCAGCAATATGTAGTTACTGGCTTAGACATATTTACTAAATTATTAAGATCATTGCGATTCAATTTTACATTCTACTCGAATAAGAAAAGGTCATATTTACTAAATTATTAAGATCATTGCGATTCAATTTTACATTCTACTCGAATAAGAAAAGGTTTATGAAGTTCTCTAATAAAACTTCTTATAGAAGTTTTTGGTCAATTCTCATTTGAATATTAAAAGAATTATTAGTATTGATCATTAATCATCCAATACTTTTATTTGAAATGCCTTATTATATTACATATATTCAATGTTTTGGGCTATTAAGGCAGTAAATTGATACCTTATTATAGAATTATATATATTTTGATTATAAAATAAGTCTATGACAGTTTTTAATTATTACACAGGTCAACAAAGAAAATGGTGCAAACGATTTTGATACTGTTTTTAAGTATATTTGAGGCGCTGATTTCAAAAATGACATTGGTTTTTTTCTATGAGCTTTAGTTTTCAAGATACGATATATATGATATATTTTACGATATTAGGTGCGCAACTAAGTTCTCGCTATTTTTTCGATGAAAATGTAACTTTATTATAAAAAAATGCATCAATTGAGTTCGATACAGTTCTCCAGTGATGGTTTCACTCGGTTTCAACAGCTCATAACAAATAACACCGGCCTGGTCCCACCATATGTAGAGCATAACCTTCGAAGTGAATATTCGGCCGAACCGAGATTTTCTCGTCTTTGGATTGCTGTAATGTATTCATTTTTTATCACCTGTCACGATGTGATGAAGAACCTCTTCTTTTCACGCCGCTGGAGCAGTTGTTTACAGGCGAAAAGACGACGCTCGACGTCTCTTGGCTTCAACTCTTAACCATAAGTATATAATGCAAAAACGATATCAGTTATGTGTCGCAGCAGTTTGTTTACTTACTCCAAGTTTGCTTCAAGACGTTTTGGATTTGTCAAAATCGACCAACCCTTACTGCTAGAGCCATATACTGACAAACAGCGAGAACTTAGTTGCACACCTAATATAAGGAACGAAAGTACAAAAGAGTAATACAATTCCGAATGTTATTTTAATGAGATATGACTACTCGTACATACAAACTTACAAGACCCATTCGGCCTTAGTTGGGACATTAGTTGACACTGTGAAAAGTTCTTTTCCGTGACGACCTCAAATGGACCTGGTTTCGGCAACTTCTTTGTATCTCAAAAACTAGAGCTGATACAAAAAAATGGTTTGCAGATTTGAAATCAGCGCAAAATACTATAAGAATCAGCTCTAACATTTGAGGCACAAAAAAAAAACTTTTTTTTGTTGGCCTGTGTTATTAGAGTAGAGCGGAGCTTACAGGTAAAAAGGTCCCCCAACGATATCTCAAAAAACAAGTGATGATAAAACTTTTTTAATAACAATATTTGAAAGTAGAGTGATAAAGATGTATAATCAGCTACCATATTGATTCTTGCGACGACCTTATTGAGAAATAAACAGCAATCATTGAAAATTCACAAAAAAAGTATTTTCTTTCGTTGTTAGTTTTTATGGGTATGAGCACTGCGGTTTAGTTTACGAGACATTAATATATATTTTAAATATACATTATATAATTTTTTTATAAGATGTATAGTTAAATTCAATAGTTTTTTTTATAAAACATATATAAAATCTTAAATGTGGGTGGTATAAAAAGGATCAACTGATAGGCCTTTACCCTGTCTAAACTAATGGGTAGTACTGCCCTAAGGCAGGTCTGTGAGTTGAGTTAAACTCAAACTCGATTCAGGGAAGAGTGTGAGAGTTTTTCCAATTTCCATTTCACCCTGTCTAAAGTTCGAACATTATATAATAGTAAACAAAAAAGTAAATTAAGTTGAGAAGAGATGTTCCAAAATAGATAAGTTGAATAAAGAGCTATTCCAAATCTGCTGATTTTCTGCCCAAATACTAGATCAAGATAATACACAGTGTCATCTTTGCAAAAATGTACCCATTATATTTTGCAATAGCTGAATACTGAAGGAATTATTTCCTAAAATCTCTTTAATCACTTAACTTCACCACTGCTGAATTAAAAATAAGACGTTGTATCTTTTTGCCGCCTGGCTGCCCCATTTTTCTTCGCGCATAGAGTAAAAAGAACCAGGTGACAAATTTTTTAAATCAACCAAAAAACACATTTCATCAATGATGAATGGGCTGGAAGTTTCACTGAACGTAGTCAGATAGTGGTATATTTGATATGTGGTATTTGTTGTGATATAATTGATTTGGATTTCACAATATAATTGCTCAAAGTTAAATTGGACCATTGATTTTTGATTGAGACACCAACGATCAAAAAGTAACTATACTTAATCTGATTAATTTAAAATTCAATTTAGCTCATAGAATAATAATAATATGCTGGATATTTCTGAAATAATATTCTAAATATTTCCTTTACCTTCCTGTTCCTCCTGCCATGAAGTAAACCCAACTAAACAATTCATATACAGCGGCCATCAACATCGACCAAAATATATGAAGGAAGCGGAAGGGATGTGCCACCACGATGAAATCAATCATCATCAATATAAAATTGAATATATGAATTGTAACTGTTATAAAATCTAGACTGTCATCTGAAATGTTAATAAAATATTGTACAAATTTATTTACATTTAAAGAATATGTATTGACTGTCTGATACCTTCGCAAGTAGTTTCTTCTAGGCGCGGATCCAGCAGATCAGCCGTAAGATCAGGATGTAAATTTATGTACAGCAATTCTGCGAGTTTCTTTGCTCTGGTAATATAAAAAATAAATATTCATTGGTAAATTCATACGTATATAACATCTCTTATAAGACCCAAACGTTTTGGTCAATATCGAAATCGTCATTTAGTGTAAAAATCATCATTACTAATTCACTTAATCCAAAACGTCAAAAAAGTTTTATTTGATATAGCGTTTCTTGTTCAAACTTTTTGGATTAAAAGATGATAATATAATAAAACTATCCCTCTTTTACCCAGTTTCTTCATAATGTTAGAAAAAATTATTTTAAAGAATATGTTCTAGCCATTATAAATGTACGAGTAATTGATATCATTCCGTTCATTTCTTGTTTTATTGTTATTGCCTATACAGAAATTTTATATTTCTCATAGTTTATGTTATTATTTTAAGGAGGTAGATAATTAAGGTAATTGAGAAACGTACCAACCTACATCGATTTGCATCAAAAATCAAACTCCAATAGCAACATGTTATAATAATTGATGAGACTGTCGCCAAAGTATTTGTAAGCCAATATGTCTTGGTCAAGCAGTTCATTTTAACTGGATTTTGTAAATGACGATCAGCAGCATTATCTAAAATTATAATAAAAAAATGACTAAAAATTATAGATAAATATACAGGTCAGACAGAGAAAATTACTCGTGGTAAGGCAATAAGACCTTGTACTAATCTGCTACAAATATCTAATGCTGAAATTTAATATTCAAAACTGGTCAGTTTTTTTCTGTTAATTTCTCTCAAAGTCTTCAGATCAGATCATTATCTTGAATTTGGTTTCAAATTTTTGACAAAATACTACCTGCATCTACCTACTTCCAAATTGCCGATCCAGATGCAAACGGCGGCCGACGAGAATTAGTGCCAAAACAGACTGAATATCACATAAGACAATTCCCCAATGAGTTAAATAACATGGATATTTTAAATGGTAATGCAAAGGCTTTGTATCCCTGCCAATATTTCCTAGAGAGATGATCAGCATGAAGAAGCAGCCTAAGACGTGCAACAATCGGTAGAGTAAAAAATACAAGGAGGTTTTTGCGCTGCGCTGCCACTGCAAGGGAATAAATTATAAAATAAATATAAATTTGAAAATTGTCCGTAGAAAATATATATTTACTTGGCATTGTGAAAATACGTGCGGTTTTCTGTGTTCAAAATTGTAGGTTTTTTGCGAAAATGCTTTCAATAAGAGCGCCCCTAAAACATACATATACATATGACATACATACTACACGTAATTCATGTTATTAATTATCAAAATAATAAAAAATATTTAATATTAAAATCACTCACTCACAACAACGAGTACAAAAATTTTGCTTTACTGCAGGCTCCGACATATTAATTTTGCTGGATGGATAGTGAATTATATCCTGCCTACTCTCAATTTATCCTTCTTTTTAGTTGGCATTGTTTGTATTATTTTATATAAAAAATAAATAAATTTTTAACAATTTGACATAAGCAATCATTTGTTTTTATAATACAAATAGAAAATGATGTGCAAATTATTTTGCCATTAGAAATTTAAGAGATCCAAAACATTTTCGTATAACTTACACTCGTACCACTTTTGTGAAAGAAATGTTTCCTTTCATTTTTAATTATTATTACTGAATTAATGAATATTTGGAAAGTATGAAAAGTTTAATATTATTATTGTGATTTTGTAATATATAAATATCTCCACGTTTCAATATTGTAGTTTAGTCTTTCCAATAGTACCTAATACTTGCTAGTAGTTTTACATGTTTTATATTGTTTTAGTATTTAATTATTTTAATTACATTGAAATATTATAAATTATTTTATCGAATTTCTGTTATCTTTATAGTTTGAAATTTTCGCCTAATCTGTATACATTATTCTGTATATAATATATTATTTTGTTAACTAGTAGTGCATGGCATCGTGCCCTAAGGCAAATTGCAGAAAAATTATTTTTTTTAAAAAGTCGTTTAAAGTTTTGAAATTTAAAAAAAATCGTTTGATGTGCATATGTTCAATGATCATTTTTAACTTCCAAATGGCTTTTTTCACCGCCTTGTCCAAAAACTAATCAGCCTGTCTCTTTAACAATAGGAATCGAATGCTTTTTAAATAATCAAATCGGTTGAACTATATTCCCGAAATCGTCGACGAAAATTTGTATCTGCACACAAACACATACATCCATTTTTCTATATATCTTATATAATACAATAATATATAATATAATAATAAAATTGTAATTTAGAATGAGCAGTATATAACAATGTGACTGTAATATATTTTTTCTTTGTAAAAGTGTTATGATAATATCTATAACTTTCGCAATCATTGAAATGTGATGTTTTTTGGGAAATTGTTAATCTTTTTCACAATATATTATATATACAGATAATTAAGATAAAAAAAGATATTTATAAACATTGTTAGAGTACATTACCCTTGAGTAATAAACTCATATATTTTAATTATAAACTGTAATTCAACCTATTCAATGAAATACATGATTTTAAATCTAAAAAAATCTAAATCTAATGTTTTTCTACAAAAATGTTACTGCAATAGTTTATGTAAATTAATTTCTTATTTGCTGTATCTTTTAAATTGTATTCATTTAAATTCTTTTACTTTCATATTCAAAGTCAAAATTGTATTTGAATGTAGCGCCAAAACTTGCATTGTAGTGAAGTTCGTTTGGTTTCTTAGTTACCAAGGTTGGCAACACATAAAGAATTATAAAATGTCAACAGCTCCTGTCACAAGTCACCGTATCATCAAATCTTGTACAATGTGATGTTTCAGTCAATTGACATCTAATTTAGGTTATCATGTTTTAATAATTGATTATAATTAAATTTAATTACATATATGAAATGGCTGAAATTATATTCGATGCAGTTGCTTATTCAAAAATAATATTTCATGCTGCTAAGTATCCACATTGTTCTGTAAATGGCGTTTTGTTGGCAGATGCATCAAAATGTAAAGAACCAAATAAGATAAAAGAGTTACAAATTGTGGATTCGGTTCCTTTATTTCACTTGTGTTTACATGTGTCTCCGATGGTTGAAATTGCCTTATCACAGGTAAATTTTATATGTATATGTTATAGATTTTACCAATTATTCCCTAATATTTTCCATACTACTGATATTCATTTTGTGATTCAAATATCTACAATTCTGTTGGAAAATTATGACTTTTTGTATCGTTTGATGCTAAATAAGTTATTTAACTAAATTTCATCCATACTTTAATTTATCTTTGTTTAGCTTATATCTATATTGTCATGTTTTATATGCAGATAGATTCCTGGGCTAATGAGAACGGCCTCCTCATAGTAGGATACTATGTTGCAAATGAGGGTATTAATGACAATACAATTGAAAAATGTTCGACATCAAGTTTAAAAATTGCTGAAAAAATTGCTGAGCAGTTCAGTGCCGCTTTGCTGACAGTGGTATATTTACTCTTTCTTTTTATATGAATACTCGCTATGAATTTATGTTGAATATTGTTTTTATCTAAACGTATCATAAATTGTGTGTACTTTTTATTTTGTCTTTATATGGCATATTATAAGTAATGTTTTCGATAGTGCGAAACTTTATAGATTATTTTGCATTGAGAAGTTATTTAGTTGTTTATTTATTTATTTAGTGAACAATTAAATCAAATGCATTTATTGCATTTGCAATTAACATAATATAGTGCATATATTACAAGAATTAATCAGGTCTCCATATGAATCTGAAATGAAGTATCCAAATAGTATCAAGAGATATTCAATGTGTGGTTTTAAGCAATAGTGTTTTACATATTTGCTGAAACTTATATTTGAATGCAGTATGTCAATTTAATAAGTGAAGTGATAGAAAATATTTATTTGTTAAGGTCGACAACACCAAAATGGCACATAATAATGAGGAAGTAGCTTTAAATGTATGGCAGTTCAATGATGGTAAATGGAAACATAAACCTGAAGAGCCACAGTTAACACCAGTTGAAACGATAGAAGCAGTTTCAAGTTTATTGAGGCAAGGTATTAAGGATGTAGTTGTAGACTTTGATAATCATTTAGATGATGTCAAACTCGATTGGACAAACAAAGCACTGGAAAAAAATGTAAAAGAAATTTTAAATTTGTGTGTATGACGATGATTTCTAAATGAACTTTAGTATATAAACAAGGTACCAATGAAATGTTAATTGATCGATTTTATACAGTGTAAGTCAATTGATTTACTTTTATAAATGGTGTAACAAATTTTGTATTCTCTGGAAATATTTCTTAATTTATGTTGTGTCATGTGTATCATATTTATTTTGTTAAATACATTATGTTGTCTGGTAAAACTTCTATCTTTACATGAAGATTTTTTATTGGTATAAAATGAGGAAATTAATAATAGTGAAAACTAGTCTTTTTGTAATTTATTGAATATTTGCTCTTAAAATGCATACCTCTCTACACCACCAAATTTATTATCTATAAGAATGTAACGTAAAGTAAGAGAGATGAGTGTTCCTGGCTTATTTTATTGATATAATTTTTCTAATGTTATAAATGGCTTTCGAGATACCTGCACATAATATATCCACATGTTTATTAGACGTATCTAATATCACGTTTTTTGTATCTCAACATGCTTGCAGTTCAAAGTGTAGTCAATGTAATTTTATGGTTGTGAACTAGGTTTTGTCGCATATTATTATGCCTAAATTTAGGCAGGTCAAGGATATTAGGCATATTAGGAATGCCTAAGTTTAGGCATTTTGCTTTATAGAATTTTAATTTTTATCTTTTTATCCGGTATTTCCAGTGAACCGTTAACAAACTATGTTACATATCAATTTACAATTGTGTGCAAGTCATGAACAAATATTAGCAATAATCATTACACTAAAATATTGCCTTAAATATGTCAACAAATAGTTTGCCTTATGTAATTTATGGTTTTACTAAAGTTGTAAGAACTTTTCTTAATCCATATATTTATCTTACATACATATGCTTTGTAATGCAAAATATACAAATATTATTCAAATTTTCTCAAAATTACCACTCAAGCACCAAGCACTGATATTTCTTGAAACAGTTCATTGAGACTTTTCTTGTTCTCACAATGAATAAAATGAAATATTGTTCATATATCGATTTTATTGAAACGGTTTAAAAATTTAGAAGAGATTAGCTATAAATAAGGATAAATAAATATTATAGAAATAGTATGCAATATTATTTAGAACAATTATTTTGAGATATATAGTCTAAATCTCAAATAAAATAAATAAATAAATATAAGTTATAAAAGTTATAAAGTCCAAATCTCAAATTTTATTTCGGGTGGAGCATTCTGCTTCTTCAGCGGGAATGCATAATTTTTCACGAACACTATATAAAGAAGATTCCGGACAATGCATTATCCAAGACTGGCCTCCATCACAAATGATAAAATTTTTGCAATTGTTTGGATCAGCAAGAAAAGTTCCATTGACCATATTTTTGCACATATTCACATCAGCATATGCGGTCATGATCACCAGACATGATAATAATATTAAAGCTCCTGGAATTTTTTTTTTCAATATTTAACTTTGATTCATTACTATAAATATAATGCATATATAATATAAGGTTATTGTTTGTGTATTATCTATATATATATATATATATATATATATATATATATATATATATATAAGTCGGGTTTTCCTTACTGGCGATATAACTCCAGAACGCACGAACCGATTTCGACAATTTTGCATTCGTTGGAAAGGTCTCGGGCTCCGCAAGGTTTATAGCTAAGAAAATTAGTGGTGCATGGCATCGTGCCTTAATGCAAATTGCTGGAACTTCACGCTCCGTAATTAAAAATTCAAGTAATGAAAATAATCAATAGCTGTTTTAAATAATTTCAAATAGATTATCTACATATATCTACACACACAGATATATATATATATATATATATATATATATACACACAAAAATTGCTGGCGAAAAAATGTGGTTTACCAAAGAGCACTTCAATGAAACGGATAATTTGCGGATTCACTTTCATTTACTTAGAGAAGTTCAACTAAAAAACACTTCATTTTTGTAATCGAAATAAATTCATTACTGTTGTGTAATAAATCAAATTTTACAAAACAATTTCTTCATCTTTCTCACGAAACCATCTGGTGGCGAAACGGATTTTGTCGGGTTTGCTAGTATATATATATATATATACCATTCAATCATATATATATTACCATTCAATATATATATATATATATATATATATATATATATATATATATATATATATATATATTTGATTGTGTACTATCTATATCTTCTGCTTGTTTGCTCGGCGTTTCAAATCATCATGAATCTTTAGACAATAAACTTGGAAAAAGTAAAAGCGCAAAAAAATGGACCATTAATCGAAATTTAATCCACTACATAAAATAATAAAACCATTTGTTAAAACTCGATGACTAGCATTGTTTAGTATTGCGTTACGGTCAGCCCAGCAGTTTCTTAATTATTAGCAGCTACTAAGTACAAAATTTTCACATATCGGAAAGTTTATGCACTTACCTTGGTGCAAATATTTGTATAATTTTTATTTCCTTTAAAATTTATAGTGTAGAAACAACTCAAATTATTATATTCAAATATGATACAATGGTATCACAGTAGGTATAGAGAAATTATCTTAAATTTATTATATTAAATTTTTTAAAGTATTATTAAAAGGCTTCTACTTACTTTGCATCTTGGTAATAATTTCCTCTGACACATACAAAATTTAAATATATTTTGTATAATTTCAGTTAGGACTTTATATAACCAAATCATATCTTATCTTTATGAATTATTATATTCCATATTTTTTTTATTTATATTTACATAATTTAAATGATGTGCTCAAATACGGTCAGCATTAGATTTGAACGCAAAGTAATTTCAACACTTACAAGCGTAAATGACCCAATGGAAGAAAGTGATAAATAAATTATGAAGAAAATGTGAACAAATGTTATAAAACCTATTTCCTAATTTCAATATATATTATCAATAACAACTTAAAATCGTATTATCCTAAAAACTGTAAAACTGTAAAATAATTTACATGTATATATATATATATTTTTTGATTGACCTAAATTACTAATAATTTAAATCTGTTCTTAACATGTTATCATTATATAAATAAACATATCTAAATTAACATTCTTAAAAAAAATTGATAAGAAATTGTCTGACGCAAACATATATAAACATATTCCTATGATTATATGATTTTCTACAACCATAATGTGTTTGGTTTGTTTCGCCCTGTCTGGTATACAGAGTTTGATTATTTAGAGTTTGAACACCAAATAACATTATTATACAAATTTTAGATGAATGGTGAGACACGATTTGTTTTCGAAGCTATATCATTTTAAATATATTAATATTTTATTTCGAAGCATCGTCTGTGAAATATACAGGGTGTCCCAGACCTTGACGTCAAGCCAAAACGGGGTGATGGTATTGACCCTAACTGTATTTTTAATTTTTTGAGATGTTTTCAAATTAATGACTTAAGCACCAATATTTCTTGAAACCATTGAGACTCATTGTCTTGTTCAGACAATGAATAAAATAAAACATTGTCTTTATATTGATTTTATTAAAACGGAATAAATTTATAGGAGGAGAGCAATGAAGATAAATTTATTATAACAGTAGTATGAAATATAGTTTCAGAAAATCGCTGTCAGATATTAAAATGTTTTATTCTGGTTGGTAACATTCTACATTTTGTGCGTAATCACATGTTCCTTCGTGATCATTCCATAAAAGTGATCCTGGACAATACATTTTCCAAGCTCGGCCTCCATCACAAATGAAGAAATTTTGGCAATTGTTTGAATCAGCAAGAAAAGTTCCATCGTCCAAATCTTGGCACACATCTACGTCAGCATATTCGGCACTTATCATGATCACAAGACATGATAATATTAATAATGTTCCTGAAATTAAGTTTTTTAAAATTTTACTTTAATTTATGACAGGCATTACTTATATCTTCTTCAGAAGGAGAAGTTCGTTTTTGCCAGAAATTCCGATTCGCTAATTTTGTTTACACGACATTTCAAATTATTATGAATGTTTTGATAATGAATTTGGAAAAAATACTAGCGCTTGTATATGTGGGCCAAAGTTACACATTTCGTCGACTTTTTCTCGACAACGGCTGATTTCAAAAATTTTAAATCCCTTTGATGAAATTCGATAAGGGCTCGAACAGATTTTAAAATCCAAATTGTTGGAAAGATAGAGTTTCAAAGAAAGATAGTGATCCAAACTAATTATTAACCGCATTTTATTTTTAAAATTTTATGGCGGGCCGCAATTATTAATGATTTACAAAGTTTGATATACTATTGAATATTGTAATATAAAAATGATAACTTATAAAAGTAAATATTTCATAAATTATGGCAACCAGAAAATAAAGTATTTTAAATTAATTTATTGATGGAAGAGAGTTAATGAAATGAATAAAATTTTGCTTTATAAATGATTTGCGGGCCGCAAAAAACTATTACTAACTTTTGGGACGCGGGTTGCTCATCCTTGAACTCAACTGAATGAACAACCTAAAAAATATTATAGGCCTACGAAAAGTGGTTTAATTATAAAAAATATCAATTTTGGAATAATGAGCTTTGCCCGTACGACATAAATTCCATTTTGCGACTTGAACTGATCACACTTCTACTTAAAACTACCTCGTGTTTTTCCTAAATTGTAGGAATGATATGTGTTAAATAAATTAAATTGATTAAGTATATCAATTAGAAATCGCATTAATTATTTATAAAAAGTTGCTACATTTGATAATCGGTTATATACATATATCGGAAGTTAATGCAATTTACCTAAAGGCCTTGCAATTTTAATTAGTTTAATCATATTACCGTAGATTAAAATGTTTATTACCGCAATTTAAAATGATTGAACTCCTAAGTAACTAATAGTACTGAAGTATTGAATATTCTACAAATCATATTTTATTGAATGCTTCTACTTACCTTTCATTTTGTTATTTTAAATTAACTGTTCCTCTGACACACACAAAATTTAAATATATTTCGTACATAAATTTTAAGTTGGGTCTTTTTATAACCAAATTATATCTTATCTTCATAAATTATATTGCAGATGAATTTTTCAATAAATATTTACCTATATTAAATGTTGTGCTTAATTAAGGATTAACAATATGCTTTGAACGCAAAATATTTGCACAACATGCGAAATCAAAAACAGCGTAAATGTTGCAATGGAAGAAAATGATATATTTTCCAAATCCTAATGTACATTATTATTATTGATTTATTATTAATAACAACATAAAGTTGAGTATGCAATATATATTTTACCTTAAACTTGATGCAGCCATATTTTAGATGCATAAATTACTTTAATTTAAATTTGCTCTTAATTTTTTATCATTGTTTAAATCAAAATATCTAAATTGACATTGTTAAAATATTTGATAAGAAATAGTCTTACGCAAACATTTTTAAACAAAGCCAAACCAAATAAGCTCGATGGTGATGGAGTGAATGAATCTGCATATAAGTACATACATATGTAAATATTATTTCATCATGATTTTTGAAATATGACAGAATAGTATTCGATTAAATTTCAATAATCTGAATTTCTTCATTTCTCAATCAGTAGAATGTTCTTTATAATTATTAATTATTTTTTAACTAAATTGGTAAGCACAATAATGAACTTGAATAATGCAAATTTTTTAGAATATAAAAGAGCCCATATTTTGAAACGGCAAGTGTTTGTTCAAACAGATGCAATTAATAATAAGTATCTTTTTAAATAAATGTTGTAATCTTATGTAAGTCCCTGAGCTCGTCCGTGGCTAAGGAGTAAGAGCTTTGACCTTTTTACCAAAAGTTCTATTTTCGATTCTCACCTCGGACAGCTTGATTTCAAAGATTGGCGATACCCGTCTTTACTTTAAGATCTAAATATGATGCAACGAATTAAAAATATATCATATTCAGAAAGAAAATATAACGGATTGTTTTCTAAACAGCGTTATTATATTATAAAATTTAAGAAAGTATGAATATATTTAGTTTCATTTTCTATTCAGTACATATCTGTACATATCTAGAATCAATTACATAACAAAATTAAAAATATTTAATTCAATTCACTTTCTTTATTTCATACATATCTTATTATAATTTCACTTAGTTCTTCTATAAAACAGATTCCACATTTATCAAAATAATTATACATTATTTTAACGTGTAATATAATGCCAAAAATAAATAGCATATGATTAGAATATAATAATATAAATGAATATATAAAATTTCATTTTGTAAAACATATTCAATTTTACTTTTTTGTTATTATTTACAGTTTAAATTTATAACTAATAGTTCTATTTATAAAATACTTTTTACTCCAACGGCTGATCTGGTAGAGGCCTGTCTCCACAGTTGACGTTTTGTGGAAAATCACAGCTATCTATTTCGGTATTCCAAAGTAAAACTCCTGGACAATCCAAATGCCAAGCTTGTTGTCCGTCGCAAATGTAGAATTTCGCGCAATTCGCACTGTCTGCTAACATGGTTCCGTCTTTTAGACCTGCGCACTGATCTCCTGCGACCAGGCTGCTAAGAGCAACCAGGAACAGAGCCAGGAAAGTAACTTTCTTGATTGCTTTAACACAGATAGATAAATGTTAATATTACAATTTACAGTAACTTTTCTAACGTTTTTATCGAAAAATCCGACATTTTTATGTATTCTCCACATTTGCAGTCATCTCTATTGTTATGGTATATAAGCGTGTACGTGTATGTGCGCCAAAATTTGGCAATTTTTCGACGTTTTATTCTCAACGACTAAACTCGATAAGAGCTCGCGTTGATCAATTTTGTGAGATAATAGGTCGACCAATTACTTTATAAAGTGCAAAAAAATTCTGTCAATGTTTTTGTCGAAAATAATAAATTAATTAATTTTGAAACAAACTTTTCGGAGAGTTGGATTTGAGCTGATTAGCTTTTAGTAAAGATCGGATAGTAAAGATTGATTCTTTTGAAATTATTAGTTTAAAAGATTCTTTTGAATTTTTTAAATTCAATTCATTCTGCAATTTGTTAAATAATACAATGAGCAGAGATAATTAACAATATAAAAAGGGATAACGGACGATCTATTAGTAATATAATGTAAATCGAATACAAAACATTTTGACAATTTTAATAAAACAATTTACTTTTCAAAGAAATATTCTAAAATATTATAGACCATATATATGGCATAGGTCATAGTGCTGAATAGTCGTTTTTGTATAAAATTGAATTTGAAAACTTTTATTTTAAAACTAGCTGTACCCGTTCACGCTTTGTCGTGATTTAGTTTAAATTAAAAAGTTGAACAAAAATGTGTATTTGTTACATTTAGTTTAACGTTACTACTATCTGTTCAACAATTTACCTATTCAACAATTTGTCTACGAATTTACCTATAAACCAGTTAATCAATCTACCATTCTACCGACTTACGAATTTACCGGTCAACCTATTTACCTATCGACCTGTTTATCAATACACAATTTTACCTGTCAACCAATTTACTTATCATCGCGTTCTAAATGTCTACCAAATAACCTGTTCAATAATTGACCTGCTAAACAATATACCTGTTTAACAATTTGATTACTAATTTACATATCAACCTGTTTATCAGTCTACCATTTCACCGGCCTACGAATTTACCTATCATCCTGTTCTACATGTCTACCAATTGAACTGTCCACCTGTTTTTTGTCTACATATTCGCCTATCTACCAGTTTTCCTCTCTGTCATGTACCATATCCTCCAATTTACCTGTCCACCAGTTATTTACACATTATAAAAAAATTGAAGCTCAAATTGATTTGATTGATTCTACGTTTTGAAAAAGAAAAGAGCTGTCTTAGAGTTAGAGCTTTTTAGAGTTTTCCCGGCAATTATTCGATTTTTTCTCACCGTAAGAACCATCCTTGGACTTCAACGATCCATTTTTATATATAAGAAGATGAGCAGTTGAAATTCAAATTTGCTAAATTTCAATTCTTGCGGATTAATTTGATTATTAACATATATCGGTTAGGTTATACATATATGCACTCTTATTGTTAGTTTTTGTCAAAACCAAAACTTTTCTTATTATATATTATAGGGCTAAAATATTATACAGATGAGAATCACTTTAAGACGATTATTTTGTACAATTTCTCGCGTAAGATGCGTTTTTGTGTTTATATGTGTGTATATAAATGATAATATAAGTTTATGTACATATTTTTAAGTTCCCGTAGGGTAGTTATAGTAATGGGTCGAAAATCGAAAATCGAAAATGAAAATTTTTGCATATCTTCGCGTCTTGAAGGTTTCTGAACATTTTGGCATACCTCAGAAAAAATGGATGTGTGTGTATGTGTGTTTTGTATATCCGAATTTTTTCGTTCACTTTTTCGAGCTCACGGATCAACCGATTTGAATGATTCTAAAAACTTTCTGCTTGTGTTGACGAAACAATTGCTTTTCAAAACATTTAATATTTCTCAAACATTTCGTTACAGTACGGGAAGTTCTAGCAATTTGCATTAGAGCACGATGCCATACACAACTAGTTTGAAATATGATTTGTGAAGATCTAAGAATTAGCTAATCGTGAAAATATATGATCATAATTATGAATATAAAATTAAACTAAACATATATATAAAATTATTTTCAAGTTTTAAGAAAATGGTCTCAACAGATGAAATTAATCAAATTAAAAAAAATCTAAAATGTCATTATTAATGAAGCAATTACCTACCGTTCATTTTCACTTTGATTGCAATTAAATTTAAAATTTAACTTATATGTTACTTGTAATTATGCTAAATGCTAACTGATACTGATTCTTAGTTATTGGCGTATTTATAAACGTCTGATAATCTTAGAGATAGAAATCGCAATTTTATCTTAAGCTTGTTGAACAAGCCCATATCGAATGATATTTTCCGGTAATTTAAATTAAAATATCAGGAATTAAATGGATTATATGTGGACTTTATCTTGTGAATAAAAATGCATATAAATCGAATTTAACGAATACGCATATAAGTTGAGCATCGATTTTAATCCTTTGATATTCATTGATTATTGATATGTGTTTGCACATTATTTTATTGTTGCTTTATTTTTTTATTTATTTATTTCTTTCTTTATTTATTTCAAGCCATTACATTGTGATAATCAGATAATGTTGCTACACAGGCTTAAATCTCAGAAAAAATTGGATCCATTACTTTTTATTATTCTATTCTATTCTTGCATTCTATTTTTTGTTATAAAAAATATAAGTTCAAGGAATAACGTGTGGCTAAATATATTATAAGCTTAAGTAAAAACTAAAAATTTAAATAAAAATCTCGAGGAGCGGACATAATGCCTCCTAGACATCAAGTTACAATAAAGTCTCAATGAAGACACCTTCAGTTTTTATTTAAATTATTAGGTATGGGTTCTTTTTTCTGATTAAAGTTTTAAAAATATTTTTTTAGAATTAATTGTAGTGCTTTAAGTTTTTGACTTTACCGCGGTTGTTTTGCGCAATGATGGTCCACATCAAGTGTCGAAACTTGTAATTTATAAAAAATGATTCTCTTTTAACTCATTTTTATTTTGAATAATCTGCTAATTATTTCAAATATATAATTGTATATACGTGGTTTTGTTATAATATTATATAATAATATATTTTGAGGAATTTCCAGATCTAAAAAGTATGTTTACAGTTTTTAAAAATGTACATTTTTTAAGCTTGAATATATGAACTTATCTTTAATATTTACATAGTGATAGTGTAGTGATTAGCATAGTGATCTCTGATCTCTGATAATGTATTTGTTATGATCAAAAAAAATTGTTTAAACTTTTAAAAAATGTACAGTTGATTTTTAAGATTTCATAAATCTTTTGTTTTCGTTTTGAAATATATATATATATATATATATATATATATATATATATATATATAATTACGCAATGTTCATTCTGTAGATCCACTGATGATGACATAAAATCCTATGTCGAAACGTTTGAAAAAAATTAAAGAGTAACTTCTAAATCTTTGCCTTTTATTTGATGTATTGCCCTTGAAGAACTTACTCATATTTCTCAACATCAAAACTAATTTCTTTAACATATATATATATATATATATATATATATATATATATATATATATATATATAAATATAATATATAATCTTGGAGGTCGTAACGTCAAGTAAAAACTAATTAAAGATTTTTAAAACATCATACGTTTCGACGTAAAATTCTACGTTATCATCGATAGTTTTGAAATTTTTACAATTAGATTAACATACATATTAAAAACACATAACTTGTAAATAATTCATAATTGAATTAATGCAATAAGTGTCAGTGATCACTTTTTTATATAATATTTTTTAGAAATTTAATAACTGAGATGTCGATCATCCGAGGCAAATTTAATTACATTAATATATATATATGTGTAATTAGTTAGTTATTAAAATATTTTTTTTATAATTCAACAAATGATTTTCAAAACTTATGGTTAAAAAGCACGCAATGCTTCATACCCAAAAATAATGCCTAATTAATTTATTGATGCTTGCTTCACATAAAAAATTTAAAAAAGCTAATTGCTGAATCTATATATTTCGATTCTTTTGGAAAATTAAATTTAATTCAGCTGTGCGAATAATGTACTATAATAAAATTATATTTTTATTCCTAAATGTACTATTATTTTAGTTTATGATATTAATTATTATATTACAAAAGTTAATAAGTTTGCTTGTACTTTATGAAAAAAACGTTGGTTTTAAATAACATGGCACTCTTTTACCTAACCTAAACTTAAACCTAACTTCTATGATTTTATTCTAATGTCAATCAATTTCATCATTTCATCTTATTATTCATTTAATTTTATTGTCTTGTAAATGATCCTTGAACAGTATTATCAAAGTCGCAATAAAAATTATCTGAAACGTATAATTCGCAAGTGATAAGTTCTAGATGGTATGATAAAATGGTATTAATTTTTACCCAAAATTAAAATCCTATTATCATAAGAATTAATCATTAATTAGTCACTTCATCGAAATTCCATCGGGGGTTTTTTACAAAAGAGTACGCATTATTATAACGAAAATGAAAATAATAATTATGACGCAAACAATAATATTGAATATATTTTTATTTGTTTATTGCCTTTTTAGTAAGACATGAGTTAATAATTCTGTTTTTTTTTTAATTATATTCTATTCTAATATTTTATAATTTTACATTGTATAAAATATTTTTGGATATCGTACAAACACTTAGAAAAAATGACCTAATTAACAAAACGCATACTTTATT